AGTCACTTTGCCCCACACCTCCGTTTGCCCATCTGTGAAATGGGGGCAGTGGTAATTTCCTCCCTGCCAGGAGTTGAGAGGCTGAATGACACCGTCCTGTGAAAGGCCATGTTGCTTACTCCCCAGCCTGGCCGGGAGTGAGCAGGTGGGCACCGTTCTCAGCGGGGGGGCTGTGCCAACGTGCTGGATCACAATGGCTCACTGGAAATGACAAGCAGTGGCAGAAACTCCCTGATGCCGGCCAGCTAGGGGAGGGTCAGTACGCCGGCTACCTGTGGGACTCCGACCCAGGGGGTGCCCAGACAGGTTTCACTGGGCGGGAGAGGTCCACTGAGCAAAATGCAGAACAGCACCGTCCCCTCTAGCGCGTCTCATCCCAAAACGCTGCAAGGCAGCCACCTCTGGGGAGGAAGGAGGCAGCTGTGAGGTAATTCCTAGAGTTGAAATTTGCCAGGACTCTTACCAAAGAGCCCTAGGATTCCTAGTGATTAACTCCGTGAATGCCTCCTCCAAAGCCACCCCACCGGCAGCCAGATGCTCCCCTTTGCTCCGGAAAAGCACCACCCGAGGCACCAGCAGCGCTGACATCCCCCAGGCCTCCCATGCCAGTGCTGGCCCGGCCCTGCCCAGCCTGAGCTCCGCTGGGCCGTTTCTGTCACCGGGCACCTCCCAAAGCCAGAGAGCTGCCTGTCGTCTGCCTCCCACACGGCGCAGCAGGAGCCCGGCCTGGACACTGATCTCTGCGGCTCGGTACCGCGTCTGCCTGCTCTGCTCACCTCCCGTGGCTGAGTGAAGAGCACTTTATTTCTATTCATTAATGCCGCCCTTGGAGCTGGCTAATCTAATCCCGGCTCTAAATTGTATTAGCTCAGCCCAGAATGCACAGGAGCGGCAGCGGGAGGGCGGAGAGCACGTTGCAGCGAGGCTGATGCTGGCGCAGGGGCTCTGGGGAAGTGCCAGGCTGCTCCATGGGGGCCGGGCTCTTCCGTATCTCCGGGGAAAGGGCTGGATGAGCTCCCTGCCACGCAGCTTTGCATCTAATGCACCTGGTCCTCGCCCCGCTGGAGTCCTGGAGCCAGCGCTGAGCAGGGAGCCCCATCACCTGCAAGCCTGGGACCTCGGAACCAGAGGGCCACGCCGCGGGTTCTGCCGAATCCTGTCTCTGGCTAGGGAACTCGCAACAGTCGGGGTTAGTGCTCCATTGATGGGCAAGGGGGGCCGGTGGCCTGCCGCGCCTCACTGCTGGCGGCAGCGGTGGGATTGGATGCGCCAAGGCTTTTCCCTTCACCCCCCTTTCCCTTCCCGCGGCAGGCCCAGCGAGGAAATGGTGAAGATGGTGCTGAGCCGGCCCTGCCATCCGGACGACCAGTTCACCACCAGCATCCTGCGGCACTGGTGCATCAAACACGACGACCTACTGGCCGAGCACATCAAGTCCCTGCTGATCAAGAACAACAGCCTGCCGCGGAAACGCCAGAGGTGAGGGGGGGGGCCTCTTCTCCCGCGGCTTCCTCCTCCGGGCGCCTGTGGCCTGCGCAGGTGGAGGCGGAGGCTTGTTTTGGGTGAGGAGACGTCCCAGCGGCATGGGCAGGGCGTGTGCCCATGTTTAAAGGGCCTGTCCGGCTACGGGACAGCAGTCGGGCATGCTGCGCTGGTGGCTGCTATGGGCGCAGTGCTGGCTGGGACGCTGCCTGCCGCTGTTCAGCTCCTGTTGGCAGCTTGCAGTGCCCGTGGGGCATCGCTCGAATCGGCAGCAGGACAGCTCCTGGAGAGCGGGGACACTCCGCTGGTATGGAGGGACCGGAGGGCTGCAGGGTTTCCCTTCTCCCAGACTTGCTCTGCCCTTTGTCTCAGCGCCCAGAGCCCCCGTACGCCCATCTAGGAAACCCCTCTCCTCCCGCCGGCCCTGCAGCCAAGGGCAGTCTCTGAGCTGCCGTTAGCGTGGATCGCTGCAAGGACGGCCCCTCTCCACCGGCCCTTCCACCAGGCTGGCCGGCCTTGCAGGAGAGCGGGAGTGCTGGGTGAAGTGGGTCAGGACACGCGTCACAAGCACAAGAGCCCTCGAGCGTGTCTGAGATTTAGCGACAAGCGGCTGCATCCCTGAGCTGGCTGGAGCGGGGGGAGCAAAGGCCTGGGCCGGCCGGGGGAGCAAAGGCCTGGGCCGGCCGGGGGAGCAAAGGCCTGGGCCGGCCGGGGGAGCAAGCCGAAGCACAGGCTGCACCAACGCCCCCTGCAGTCGCAGCTCAGGAAGCAGTTTGTGTGAACCTAGTAGGGCCGAGCCTCTGCCCTGCCTTCCAGGGGAGTCTGAGGACAGGGCACAGGCCAGGAGCTCAGAGCTCAGCCAGCCACGTCGTCGTCCGAGAGCGAAGGCAAGCCGTGGGAATCCCCTCCTGGCTTGCCAGGGCCCCAGGACCTGCCTCCACCTTCCCCCTAGGACAGCAGACACTGGTCCTGCAGCTTCCTTTCCAGGCTGTCTCCACTGCCCGGGCTCTGCATTCCCAGGCTTACTGCACAGCGGGGACGTGGCCAGAGTCCCTGGCCCGACGGGGAAGAGGCAGTGCTGGGCACACAGACCCAAAGAACCGGGCCCTCACTTAACACCCCCTCAGCCAGCACTGAGCTTCACCTCCCGCATCCGTCTGACTTCAGAGGCATTGAAATTCCTTCCCCACATGGCTCTCCTGGAGCTGTAACGCTGCCAAGGGCCCATTGGCCAGGCCCCCCAGCCCTGCCCACGCATATCCCCAGCCACCTCCACTGCTCTCTCCCGTCCTCTAGGCGAGGCGGAGCGCGGCCGTGGTAACTAAGAACTAAAATCCAGGCAGGTATTTACAACAAACAATTGGCTGGCGCGCTCAGGAGTAACTCCATCCCCCCGCCCCCCCAGCACCTCCGGGCAGGTGGGGCTGTGAGGTACCGGCCTGCCTCCCGCTGCTGTCCTTCCCTGCAGCCGCTCGGGGGTTCTCTTCCGGGGCAGAACGACCCCTTGGTTCTCATTGGATTCCTCTGTCACAGAACAGCCCCCTCCAGGAGCAGCTCTGTGCCCATGTGGGGGGAGCTCAGCGTTCTCCAGCACCTGTCGTTGCCCAGCATTCACTAGCGAACAGGGGTCACTTGTCCTCCAAAGGAATGCAGCTGCCTCGTGGGTGGAACATGGCAGCGGTTGAAAAGTGCACAATGGTTTAGGATGGGAAGTGAACAAGGAATACCAGCCCCTTCCTCCTCCCACCCCAACCCCAGAGTGACTTGGGCCCAGCTCTCGGTGTCTGTGCTCCCACAGGTTTTCTCAGCCTGGCTGGTCCCATGCAGCGCCGCGTGGTGTGGGGCTCTCCTGGGCTGGCTCAGGGCGAGCCCAGCTTGTGCTCAGAGCCTCCCGGGAGCATGCAGGCCCCATGGGCGCTCCAGAGAGAGACTGATGCTTTGCAAATGCCCTGTGAGACTCCCCTCGCTGCAAGGCTCTAGCAGAGCCCTCAGCCAGGGAGCAGAGAGGAAGGCAGCAGCCCACGCTCCCTGCACAGGGTAACCCCGGCAAGAGGCCACCCTCGGGCTTGAGAGGCCTGGTGCTGCCCCAGGGAGTGAACGCACCAGGCTGGCGCTGCCGGACACCATGGTTCAAGTTGCCTAGTGCAGGCATGGGTGGGATGACCTGGTTGATCTTGGTTCTTTGAGAATATTTGTTGTTGCCAAAAACCAT